ATTTAGTCGTACCTCAATTACACTTTTTGGCTTAAACCAAAAAGTTAGATCTACATGTTATGAACTCAATACATGAAACGATGGGTATACACAATTAAATGTCCAATCTCGGATACTGATCAGTCTACCTCTACCATCTAAATGGACTATAGCTGTGATATCAAAAATTAATGATCAGTGTATTGTTAATTGTATTGGGAGATCAATTTCAAACATTTAGATAGGATTCATGGATCCATTTGATATACAACTCTAACAAATCTGGCTCAAGACATTAGGTATCCAATATACCCAGTGTCGGAGAATTTTGGACGGTTGAATACATAATGTTATCATACTGTAATTCCATAAAGTCCATATGGGTTGATAAATTTAGTGATCTAAATGGCTTAGCGAAAATTCATGTGAGTGAAGACTTGTATAATTTTTCCCTAAATGGCATATAAATACTACTTGTGTAATCACTCTGGTTTCATTAACATGATCTCAAGTGACCACCAGTTCAAAACATCTAGTATATGGACACTAAATTGGGTAGTGATCTACAGGGACTTATATGTGCGGTAACATTATGCAGGTCTATGTACGTTATCCCCATTATGATCTCATTGAATACTAGGATTATATAAGTTCCATGATCACAGGTATTAGTTACAACCATAGTGTAACTATAATGAGTTCAGGTTGTACCCAGGGACGGAGCTACTATCAAGGGTAAGGGGGCCATTGCCCCCCCCCCCCCCCCCCCACTTCTTTTTTATGTATTCTTATTACAATTTTTTTTTGCCCCCCTCCCCCCTCCAATAAAAAAATGAAGACCAGCTGGGAGCCAAATTCATAAAGATGCAAAGTTGCAAACCGTAACTTTACTAACTTACTAACGTACTAGGCCCAATTATAATTAGAATTATTAGGCCCTATTATGATACTCGGTATCAGTTTTGTATTATCATTTATTACCAAATACCAAGTAATTGGTTAATTTTGTTGGCATTTGTTTATCAAATTGCCAAAAGAGATAGTGTAGAATCTATCATTGATGATTTTTGTGATATGCAAGAAAGGCATTCTAAGTTTTAACTACCCGACGATTATTTTGTAATTTTGAATGTTGCAAATGAATATTGGTTTATCATTTTATTTTGCTATAATATTTTTATATTTTATATGTTAATACTTGTATTATAATCTCGCCCCCCTCAATACAAAAGTCTGGCTCCGCCCCTGGTTGTACCGGTTCATTATGGACCACTACAAGAAAGTAGATCAATAGTGAGGGAAATTAATGAGAGTAACAAAGCCCTCTCATTAAATGTGCGCCTTAGACTACCTTTAGTGACGGTAAAAAAACTCCCAATTAAAATTTAAGTACTTGGATGTTGAATGCTCCGTATGAGACTCTTCCTATCTATTACCGTCATTATTGCCAATATGTTAGCTCGCATTATTCGTCTACGGTTATTATCCCCAATAACAAGCTAGGGTTTTTAGGATTCCTCTGCAGCTTCTTTCGATAACCCTTCAGCCGCAACCCTTGATGAGTCAGAGACAAAGCCGCCACCATATACCACTACTCCGGCAAGAAGCTGTGATCTTCTCCTGCTTCGTGTTTGCAGGTCATTTGTACTAGTCCATGAGATCTTTCACAGAGTGCGCCAATGTGTGAAATCGTTTGTGCACACTCAAATTTCTCTCAAATCTGATGTAAACTCGTCTATATTAGATTCGAAGTTCCAAAATCATCTGGTTTTTCGTATTTCTTCTGAAGTAATTGGTATTGTATATTATGTTGCTCTGCTGTACACAAATAAGTTTCAGGTTCACCCTGGATCTGGTTCGGCTCCCTACGGAAATGTTTCTTATCTTATCATCACCTGTGATTACAACCATTACTAATTCCTATCCAATTTTGTTATCTCAGTTCATCCGGATCTGAAACGTCTACTACCACTCCTTTATCTTGTAAGTCTCTGTACATACTTTGACTTTTTCATGTTTCTTATAAGTTTTGAATTTCATTATATCTTGAAGCTATCATTGTTGGTTCTGAAATTGAGTGTTATTTATTTACTTAATGATATGTGTGGCACAAGTTCTATAATCTTAAATATGAAAATATGAAAAAAAAACAATATTAGGGATTTATTTACTGTATACGTTCAAGACTCATTAGTTAACTGGTTTTTTGTTTTTCTTTGTAGGCATTTGACTATTTTTTGTTCATGTTGTTTTTTATTGTAATTAGCTGGTATTTAAAGAAGAAGAGTAACATTTACGAATATTTGAATTTTTGTAGTGAACAATGGCTTGTTTTAGGTTTTGAAGTTGCTGGATTCCCAATAAGATTGGAGGTTTGCACTTTCTCATTTGTAACTCTGAATTTCATTATACATGAGTAGTGTATTCTAGTAGGAAAGTCAACGTGCACTTTCCTTGGTTTTTAAATCTTCTGATAAGAAAACAACCCCCCAGTTTTTGCTTAGTCTGATTTAACTTATTGATGTTGATACTGTGCAGGTTTAATATTCAATTGATGTGTATTATCTCTTAAGGGACTTGAAACAAAAATGGAATCATTCTTGCAACACTTGGTAGGGTCTCTCTCTTGATTTTTATTTACTCTAGAACGACATTTTGTTGTTGTCTTTGTGAGTAAGTCAAGTCTTTTTTTATTTAAAAGTTAGTAAAGAATATAAATAGCTCTTTTATATGGATATAAGTTTCTTTTGCTTGTGGATTACATATTCCAAGATGTTTGATTTACTTCTTATATATTTTGGTGGTCTCTTTTAAAAGTCTACATTAATTTTGCTGCAGTACAATGTTTATCATACTCTGTAACCAATTTGCTTGGATATCACTTTCAAGATGTTCTCTACATTGTATTTGAGTTAAGAACCAATTTGTTGTTCATTTCCTAGATTACTAGTTCAATTTTTGGTCATAGACTTCTGCAAATCAGATTTTTTACAATGAAATTACAGGAAGTTAAAGTTTTGATGTGTGTTTACTCTGTTTTTGCTATTGCAGTTTGCTTTCAAGGAGAAGTCAAAGCATGGATAGCTACTGCATGAATGAGTTCCTTAATTTTTTCCCCAGAATTTGTAATAATGAAATGGATCCCCACTTAGTAGAATAAACCCATATGTGTTTATTCTATCAATAAGAATGTTGTTTGTTGTAATCCCCTTCTGTTTCGCTGAATTGTTGTAACACAATTATAATTATTATTTTCTTTTTTCTTTACAAATCTTCAATAAATTAAAAGTTGAACTTTGATTCATGAGCCTTATACTTGTTCAAAATAATAGCAGTCCAATAAAATTCAACATAAAAAATGTAGCAAAAACGTTAAACTACTGTGAACTAATGAGATCAGAGGATCCAATCTATTAACAAATTAGTTTTTAATGAGGGTGTAATTACTCTCATGATACACTTATTAATGATGGGAACTTATTCCCGTCATTATTTGTTTAAACTTTTAACTACGGAAGCTTTAGTGACGGGTCGTGACGGTATATTTCCCGTCACTAAATGTCTTTTATGACGGTATCTAAGCTTTTAACTACGGTATATCCTTTCATTAAAGACACACTTTCTTGTAGTGGACAATCCCTTATATTTAAAACTATTTGCTAGGAAGTGTTTAATATTATATTACGTTTGGATATTTAATTGTGGTATTCTGAATATCTCTATACTATAGATCTTTAAATTAGGTACGTGTAATCCAAAGGGTCCCATTACGAGATTATATGTATTTAGCCATAACGATCATGGTAACTAGGTAATCCAATAGTCAATAGACAAGCCTATAGCTGTTAATCATAAAGAGAAATATACCTGATAATGTCTTAACTAGAAGAATACTAAATTTACAGATTACCACGAATGATGGATTCGACTATATACCCATCAATTTTGATTGATAAATTGTTAACCGTGTTATATAATTGTGAAATGATTAGTTATATGTCTTATTTACCAATTATATTATCCCTGGGTCCTATATTATAGTGGATAATACACGTATCAATGAGAGTAACCTTCAAGTCAACCGGCAATGAAAATGTGTCTATAGCGGCCAATCCGTTATACATCCCTTATAAATTACTCCCTCCGTCCCAGCTAAATCTTTACACTTTCCTTTTTGGGACGTCCCATTTACTCCTTTACCTTTCCTTTTTTGGCAACTCTTTTAACATGATTTGCCATAAATACCCTTCACACCATCCACCCACATTTGCATTTTATGAGATAAAAATTAATTACCCACCCACTACCCAACCGTCACTCTCGTATCACTACACCATGTTGATTAATCAATAGCATCTAAAATATGCTATGTTATCATTCCATAACATTGCATGAAATGCTATGCTAGGAGCTGCTATGGAAAGTGTGAGGCTTTTTATAGCATTTGATCAATTGCTATAAAAATCAGTCAACTATAGCATTTTACACATGCTATCAAACTAAGGACTTATATACTAATTGCTATCTTATAATGCGCATTCTTCTCTTTCCTAACAAAGTAAACATTAATGGATTCAACTCATTTGATTTATCAATTATACCAAACACAAATCATAAACTTCAGTAAGTTAGAGTTGTGACAATGTTCATGAATAATTACAAGCTCCACAGCAGTACTTTTGTGGACAACTACTGGAGTGTCAATTGGTTTGTTATGCACCCATGTGGAATATTCTATAAAAACTTCACAGCACTACTCAACATCATCTAAATCCAGGATATTTCAACTGGCCATTTAACAAATGATATTTCAACAGTCTTATATACTACAATATTAATTGGAACTATGTTTCAACCTTTAACCATTTTTATCAATTAGTTTTGTATTTTAATCATTAGTTTTGTATTTTATCAATTATATTTTAACCATTTTGTATTTTCATGATTTCAGCCCTTAACAAATATAGATTTCAAAGTAGCCAATTATTCTTCACTTGTTGTGGCCAAATAAAAATACTTACCAGCATATTAAAGCATAACAACTTTGTTTGATGGCCAAGCTATTGTAGTACCAACCGCATCTTCAATACACTCCAACTCAGATGTTGGCCTCCAAAGAACTGCATCAGGGATCCTAGGCATATCAACCCACACCCTCATTGCATTAGGACCTAAAGGGACAAAGTGAACAAGTTGATTTGGATCACTTGATGACCAATGTCCTTCAGCAACTATCTTTCCTGAGCCACTGATATCTAACAAGTTGCACTTTTTCTTTGAATTGCTTATACTCTGAAAAAAATAACATTAACAATAGAAAATAAAATATATAGTCAAATATAAATTAATGCTAATAAACAAATATAAGTACCTGAGAAGATGATGATTTGTTTGCAGACTGCAAATTGTGATTAGAGATATTTTCTAATACAACCTTATCACTAGGCCATGCTATTTTGGTTCCCCTAACATCTTTGATGGATGTCATGTCTAGTGTAGGTCTCCACAAAAAACATTCAGGACTTATAATGTCATCAATCCAAACAATCATGGCTTTAGGTCCGAGTGGAATACCGTTAACAATCATTTTTGGATCACTAGAAATCCAATGACCTTGAGCAACAATTTCATCTTTTCCAGTCCAATTGAATATCTTACACCTGATATGGCTAATATTTGTATCCTACCAATAAATGAAGACATAAGAACTGTTTTATTATAAATGTCATATCTATGAGATATGCAATAGAAATATATAAAAATGCAGTTTTTACCATATTTAAGGAGGTATTATCTTCATTTTCAGAATTTTGAGTAATCTGCCTCACCACCTTATCAGCTGGCCATGCAATTGTCTTACCAACAGCTTGTTTCATGCATAACATATTAGATGTAGGTCTCCAAAGAAAAGCATCTGGTTTATTTGTAATGTCGACCATCACTTCCATTGCATTAGGTCCAAGAGGAGCATTATTAACAAGCCCTTTTGGGTCACTAGAGCACAAGTGTCCTTCAGCTACAACCTCATCTTTTCCACACCAATCTAAAAGGTTGCACTTACCATGGAGTTTAGGACGTATGCCCTACAATGTACCACGACTTATAGTTAGTAGAAAAACTCTAAACATAGTATTATCTCTAACTTTAAAATTTAATAATTGACTAGTATACCAAATGACTTGTCTTATCAACTCCAGGATCATGATCAGCTTCCTCATTCCCATGGACTGCAACTAATTTTTGGACGAGATTCTCCAAGTGTTGTATCCTACTTCGAAACTCAACATTTTCCTCTTTTAGTTGAACCACGTGCTTATCTCTTGCTTGTAAAAAAGATATTTTACTTATAGTAGCTCCCCTTCCCATTCCTCTCAGTTGTCCAGGTTTATCTTTTCCCAATACTTGAGAAAGAGCATCTTCTCTTATATTAGTTGATGAGGATGAAGGCGTATCACTTTCAATTTCTTTCAGCTTATCCTGAAATACAAAGGTGATTTATTTTTAATGCTTAAGAACGAAAGATATAGAAAGAACTTAGAATATCCATAGAAATGTCTTTACAATGGTTTCACCAACAGTTGAATTCACTGCTGTACCATCCTTTTTAGTGTGACCTTTGATCCAAACTTTAACTCTTGATACAGTTGATGGATCAGCACTAGCTCTTTTCTATAACAAAATATGTAAAAAAAAATTAATTGAAAATGTATACTTCACAAAAGAACATCATCAAACCATAAAGATTACCATATCAACAGCCAGTCGAACCATTCCTTTACGACTACAAGTATGTGGCATTTGTTTGCGCCTCATGGCTTTAAACTTATCACTTATGGCCTGAAATATTGAACATTTGGCATTATAACGTCTCTTTAAAAATAATGTAATAAATTATCTTAAAATCATACCTTAAATGATGGGCTTGTTTTTATCTTTATAAATCTTTTCCAAGCTGCCAAAGATGGTATGTTATCTGGTTTCAGCTTAAGTCTCTGCTCCTTTTTCTTTGTTGCTCGAATTTTGGAAACCAGTCGTGATTTTGAGGCACGCCAAAGACATCCCATTGATTTAAACACATAATGTTTTTCCCATTCTTCTTCTAATACAAATCTTGTCTGCATTTTATGTGCATGTTTAAGGACAGTATACTGAACATAATTGACATTCAAATTGAGTAATTAAAGTGAAACAACATGGGAGAAATATAAAATGAAAGTATAGAAATAGAAAAACTTGTGCTTTAAGTGTTACCTGAACTTCTTCCCATAAAACAAATTTTAGATCTTCACTAAGGTTCCGCCAATCATCAAGTGTTACAGGTACATGCTCCCATACAAGAGTGCCCAAAAATGATGATAATTGTACTGATCCGGGTCCATATGGTTCACCTAAATCAGTGTATTGAATTTGGATTCTGTCTGCAGGGTCCCTAGCAAGTCTTTTCATTTTTGTGGGGCCCCTTTTGTTTCTTTTCACTCTTGCTTCTTCAATTTTATCTTGTACCTGAGCAGCACTAGCGGCGTGGTTTTGTTGATCCATGTCTTCATCATGACTATCTATGTCTCTAACTGGTTCATTTTGTGGTACTTCGACAGTGACTTGTCCACAACCCTCCATTGAATTCACACCCCTTGCATCCAAGTCTACAGACACTCCACTATTTACCCTGTTCTTTTTTCTTTTACGCCGACAGACCTTTGTACTCTCACCAACCATTATCGTTTATCTATTAGAACAAAGATAAGTATACACACAAATATAAACTAAAAAGACAATATTAATCAAACGTTGTAGAGTATAACCAATACCAAAATCACATATAAAAACATTGACAAACACCAAAAAAATTGTCAAGTGGCAACTAAAATGATATGATAGTTCGAACACTGAAGTATAACTACTAATTCATCTCCTCCACAAGTAGTCCTTCACAATCCACCCTAACATTACTATCCTCTTCACAATCATCAATATCCATTTCAGTCTGGGATGTCCGGAAAGATATATTTCCACTCTCTTCATTTGTTTCCAACTCATGATAACCTCTTGGTGGTGCCTTCATTACTACATACCAATTAGATGAATCATCATCTCTTGAATAAAAAACTTGTTTTGCTTGTGATGCTAGGATGTACGGATCTCTGGCAAATGGAACTTGATTTTGCTGTAGGTTTACAAGTGTGAATCCATCTTCTTCCTTGACACCATTTCCTTTATTTGCCCAATCACACTTAAAGATAGGAACATAAAAGACATGGTAGTCCAGTAAAATAATTTCTGTTAATACCCCATAAAATGAAACTAGGTCAACCACATGTGCTGTATCTTTTGCACTTGCTCTGCACATGGTTATGGCATCATAAGTCACACCACTATTTTGTGTTTCCCTATCAATATCTTTTGTTTGGAAGCGCATCCCATTGATAATGTATCCCTTGCATGACAATGCACTCTTCTTAGGACCATATGCCAACCATCTTAATGTCTTTGAGTGATTAGTTGAGGTGATAGGAATCTGAAAGATATTATTTAATAGTTAAATAGATATAAAAAACAAAAAAGTAGAAGAATATAACCAATATGATTAGTTTCAATATCACCTTAGCTTTTATCCATTCTGTAATTTTTTCATTATGTTGCTTCCACAATATGGTCTGATTTTTCTCAAGTTGTTTGTGTTTTGATTGCAGCTCCTCTAAGTGCATTCTAATATAAAAGAAAACAATAATTAAAAAAAAAATTACCAAAGATACAAACATATACTAAATAAGTACATGAATAGAAATTTACTTACTGAACAAATGGATCCATTATTGATGTGTTTAGTATCACTGAACGATGTGCAATATTTTTCTCTTTGTCAGTAAGCATGATTGCAGTGGTTTTGGATATAGGACGTCCTTCAAGAATGGTATCATTTTCAAATTCTACATTACGAACTTCATTTTCCTCGACATGTAAAGATTTTTCCAGAAACTCACGACAAAAGGCAATGCACTCTTCGGCCAAATAAGACTCTGCAATACACCCCTCAGGTCTTGCAGTATTCCTCACACATTTTTTCAGTGCCTTCATGTACCTAAAAAGAATAAAAACTAGTAAATAAACACATATTATGCTTTCATAATGGATTCAAGTGTGAGAAATGAAAACAAATAACCAAAATCTAACCTCTCAAAAGGATACATCCAACGAAAATGGACAGGACCACACAAGCGTGCCTCTCTTGCCAGATGAATTGGTAAATGTATCATTATATCAAAAAATGATGGTGGGAAAAAGCGTTCAAGTTGACATAAAATTTCACTGATCTCATATTCAAGGCTCAATAGCTTTTCACTATCAATTGCACGTTGACATAATGTATTGAAGAATCTTGATAAGCGAATTATCGCTTTCTGACATCCTTTTGGTAACAACCCTCTTATAGCAACCGCCAATAACTGCTGCATTAGAACATGGTAATCATGTGATTTAAGACCCATAATTTTACACTCTTCCAGTGCTATGCAATTCCCAATGTTTGAGCAGTAACCATCAGGACTTTTGAAATCATATATCCTCTTGCAAAATTTCTTCTTTTCAGACTTTGAAAATGTATGTGGTGCTGGTGGGAGGTACATTCTGGTCCCACGCTGTTCTGGATGTAAATCATTTCTAATCCCAATATCTTCCAAGTCCTTACGAGCATTAATGCCATCTTTGGATTTTGCATTGTGCAATAGAGTGCTTATAAGGCTCTCACAAATGTTTTTCTCTATATGCATTACATCTAAGTTATGACGTAGCAGAAGTTCCTGAGAATAAAAATATACAAATACTAAGTAAGTATAACAACTACATGAAAACAATATTTTAAAATATCAGATAAAGGAAAAGAGAAGGCTTACCTCCCAATATGGCAAGGAGAAGAAGATTGATCTTTTCTTCCACCTACTAAGCTCATTCTGATTATCGATGTTACTTGTCTCATCTTCAAACACATCATCACCATCAAATTCATTACTCTTTCTCTTTCTTTTTTTTTTCTCCACCTTTTCCAAAGCTATTGGGAAAATCTTTTAATACCTCTGAAATATTGTGACCAGTAAGTACTCGGGGCTTGCTACCATTTTCCACACTATTATCAAACCATGCTTTCTTTTTCCGGTATGGATGTGACGGCTTTAGGAACTTTCTGTGACCCATGTATGCAAATTTCTTGCTAAAGCGTAACCATCTGTTATGTGTATTTTTCCCACATATAGGGCATGCTTTTTTACCTTTTGTAGAACAACCAGCAAGATTCCCATATGCTGGAAAATCATTTATGGTCCACATCAACATTGCTTTCAAGTTAAAAGTTGAGTTGGTAAATGCATCATAAGCCTCAATACCGTTCTGCCACAACAATTGCAAATCATCAACTAGTGGTTGCAAATAGATATCTATATCGTTTCCTGGTTGCTTTGGACCAGGAATCAATAAGGTCAACATAATATTCTCTTTTTTCATGCACATTGTAGGAGACAGATTGTAATTTACAAGCATTACTGGCCAACAACTATATTTAGAACTTAAGATAGAGAATGGATTGAAACCATCTGTAGAAAGTCCAAGTCTGAGATTGCGTGAATCAACTGCAAATGAGGGCCATTTACTGTTAACTACATCCCAAGCCAAAGAATCAATAGGATGACGCATCTTCCCATCAGTGCTTTTATTAGTAAAGTGCCATCTTAAATCTTGAGCCATTTGAAAGGACCTAAACATCCTTTTGAATCTGGGAATAACAGGAAAGTATCTCAAAACTTTAACTGGAACACCTTTTCGTATTTGGTTTGTACGCTTATTTATCTTCCACCGTGATGCGCCACATTTCGGACAATTATCCAAATCTGCATACTCCTTTCTAAAGAGACAACAATCATTCACACAAGCATGAATCTTTTCATACCCCATGTTAAATCTCTTGAAGAAGCGCTTGATTGATGTAACTGAATCTGGTAAAACATTTTCCTTTGGCAACATGCGCTGAATTATACTTAATAGCTCATTAAAAAATTTACTTGAAATTCCACTCCGACCCTTAAGACCATACAGATCTACAATAGCTAACAACTTTGTGTATGTTTTGCATCCTGGATACAAAGGAGTTTGTGCTTCTTCGAGCTTCTTCATGAATTCATCATCACTATTACGACTTGTAGGTTCATCAATAGGTATTGCCCGGGAAAGTTCTTCATCCATAAAGTAGGCAGCTTGGAATAAATTATAAGTCTCGTCACTAGCAGTTTCAGAATCAAGCTTCTCATTAGTTTCTTTTTTTTCCCCATGCTTAGTCCAACATGGCTTCATTCGGTATGAAAGGTCCATCCCCTTAGTAACCAAGTGTTCAAATATAGTACTCCCATCTTGACGGCTCATATTACGACAATCTTTGCAAGGGCAGAACATCCTTGCAGGATATCCCAGATTCCTTTCAGCCGTATGCACAAACTTTAATGCTTTTTGCTGGTACTCGAGAGTGGATCTATGATTTTCAGAATAGCAAGAACAAGTACATTCTATATCTAGTTATACAGCTACACTTTTTAGTACTAGAGGAGTAATAAACTAAGATGATATTCTTACCCGTGGAGCCACACCCAATCTTTATCCATCATCTCTTGCATGATGGTTGGTGGAAGCAATTTCTCTAATATTAAAATGAAACTAAACCAAATCTAATTGGTCATTCATAACAAACAATCACATAAGAGGTCACTTAGTAAATTACACACTAGCTATGATATAGTGAAAATGCCAACATGACACACTAACAAGCTAAGCAAATCAGGTAACACATTAACTTAAGCTCACACGCAGTTGTAGACACGCATTTATTTGAATGTCAAAAAGTCAAGAGTATCAAAAGCATAAGATCTAGTGAGGTAATTGATATCAATAACAAGATAAAGATTTCTAACTGGAGTGTCTCTTATCATATGAAAATTAAAGAGATTCAATTTAAAACATCCTTTAAGTTTCGGTTTTGGCGGCTTGCCACTTATTTTATTTTGAAGTACATGAGTTTTTATTTGGACCCGGTATTAAAACCAAAAAAAACGAAAGGTTTTTTGGGGTAGGGGCTAGGAAACACCCTACCAGTTTATTGGCAAAAGAAATACAAAGAGTAGGGGCCAAACCAATACCTACATGAGTTGATAGTTGCACTCTAAGTAGTTTATTTGATGGTATAAAAAAGTTTTTATTTGATGGTCTAAACAACTAAAACTAGCAACATACGAACCTGATTGAGGTAATAAACAAGCTCTTCAATCAACTGCTGGGAAAAAAATTGACAAGTCTTCTGGTGTGCCCTAGCAAAAATGAAGGTGAACCTCAATTGGGGAAGAGAGTAAAAGATCCTTCAATAAAAATAAATCAAAATCTTAATTGATCAGACTCACATAGAGATTTAAATCCTAAAATCTAAATTGAATCAGAAAACACAAAAAATCATGATTGCTTTACACCAGGTTGAAGCATTATTGGAACAACTAGATTAATATTAGTCATGTTTTCTCTTAAATTTAACAACTAGATTATATTACATAGTTAGTTATTTACCAACATCATGACAATTCACTTCAATAACTCCTTCCACTAACCTATTGCCAAAAGTGAAACTTCAGAACCATGTAATTCTCCTCAGCTACTATTATTAGAGCATATTGTTTCTGTTTTATATCATTAATTGTAATATCTTGATAAAATATAGAAGTTTGTCAGGTGTAGAAGTTTTTAGTGGAGCAAAAATGTTATTCATAGCTAATAAAAAGAGTGAAAGGATGCACGTGATGTATATTTTTCAATTGGCTGCACTAATTGACTTTGTGTTGATTATATCATACTCTCATCAAACTAATACCTAGCTAATTTAAAATAGTGTAGAAAATAAAAGTAAGAAAACAGTTTTCAAAACATAGTTAGTGCAGCAGTTCCAAATAAAATGAACTACAAGAAAATTTCAATGAGACATGAAAGCAAACTAGGAAATCATTCATGTTAAGTTAAAATTAAATACGAAAAAAAAGATACCAGTCAGATTAGATGAATCCCTATTTCAGTCATATTAAGCACTAAAAAAATCAAAATACTAAGCATAGATGATAAACAAAATCTCTGAAATCAAATCAAAGGGACAAATTCACAACTACAGGCCTTTAATACTGCGATGCTCTGTCAAATTAAAGTGAAAGTGAAACTTAGCAGTGAAGAGAGCTTAAGATCCTTTATTAAAAGTGTGCATCAAAATCAACACCAGTGGACCTACAAAGGATCTATTAGTGATCTAGCGCTTCAAATCCTGGAGATGGCATTATCTCAGGTGATACTAAATGCCGATTATCAAAATTGATAAGTTTTATTTGACCATGGCTTTCTACTGTGCAGTAGTTCAAAAGATAATAGCAATCGAAATTGGTCCTACATCTAAATCAAATCTTAAACCAGAAAATAATCTCAATAGAAATTGGTCTTATAGAGACATAGTATAGAAGAATCGGTAATTACTTACGAAGGTGAAATAGTAATCGATCCTTGCTAAATGCTGATAGCTGCTGAAACGATAAGGCTGAGAAAGAACTATGGAGAAGAAGAGCCGAACTTGCGTTGGAGAGGTAACGGTGAAGGAGAAGCGGTGAAATTGAGAGAGAATGAGGTTCAGGGATGAGGTTAAATTTTTAAGATGTATTGAATTGAGAAACCTAACGCACTGTTTTTGTGCCCGTCTTTTTTTTTTTTTTGCGCATGTCATGTCGATATAACATAGCAGTTTTTTTTACAGAGCGTAACATAGCGGTTTTGACGTTGTTGTTAAATACCTGTTTTTTTTCTCTAGAGTAATAGTTCAGATTGGCGGTGTGAAGCTGTAGCATTAGATCCACAAATGCTATAATATTGTGCTATAAAAACGAATTATTGTTGTAGTGTATATTCCCTGCTAATACTCGAACCCTCCATACGCTAAACCCAGTGTCGAGCAATAACCTTCTCTCTCCATCTCTTCATCGTCTCTCACGAATTTATTCAATTGCTCTCTGCAATTCCTCCTAATTTTCAACCATTGGAGTTTGTTTGCCTGGTCAAGAAAAATTTAAGTTCTAAATCGATCTACCCATGTATGTTGATGTATGGAATCATGCGATTAGGGTTCTAATGTTTTTTTCAACAGCCATGGCAGATCCGAATTCAGGCATGGATCTTGAAGATCTCGAACATGCCATTGGCGAAGACTCATTTGAACACCGTGTTCCTTCTCTTCCTGAGCAACGAGCCGTTGATAACTTTTGTCGGCACCCCTGGAAAAGGCCAATTCGTGAAACTAGCAAATCAAATAACCATAGCTTCGACCATGGTTGGGCTATGCGAGGGCCTTATATATGACCACAAAGCAGGTCTGGATTTGGAATTATATGTGAACGCAATCTCAATGGGAGCTGCAGTATCAAAATCACTAGACTTGTATGGGAGGAGGATAGTGAGCAGAGAATACTGTAGGTTGGTAAAAGAATACTGTGATCTTGACTTGGCCTTCATCTCGCTACATGTGTTGTGAGTTATGAATACTGTGTCATTCATTTTCTTGTTTTCATGGGCCGGGGCTTTATTCTATTTGTTGTGATGTTTTCATCGGAAAAAAAAGTAAGATACCCCAAACTCTTTTTTGAACACCGTTACCCGTTTTAAGATAAATTCATATCTTCTTCTTAATTTCCAGTGTTCTCAATCGGTTTTGGTAGTCTGTTAAGCTGTCTTTGATGAAATTAAATTGCCCATTCTAAAATAAAGGATATTTGTAAACATTAAATTGATCAATGATGCAATAATGTGATTTTATATGTGTGCTGAGATCCGTGTTGGTGTCACCAGTTGTAACCAAATTGATTTTTACTCCGTACAACCCAGGAGACCCAGAATGATGTCATATATGCTTATGATCTGTGTTGGTGGTATGTTAAGCTGTCAATGATGAAGTTAAATGGCCTTTTATGAAGTAAAGGACATTCTAAAATGTAAATTGATCAATGATGCACTGATGTGGTTCTATCTGTGTGTTGGGATCTGGGTTGGTGTCACCAGTTATAACCAAAGTAATGGTTACAACTTAGGCGACCCAATATGTTGTGTCAATTGCTTATGATCTGTTTTGGTAGTCTATTAAGTTGTCAATTGATCAATGAAAGTAAAAGGCCTTTTCTGAGACTATAACATCAACAAAGAAGTTGCATCTTTACTCAAAATATACTGCATCTATACTAAACAGTATACAAAAATAATGCATCCATACTAGACTGCATTCAAGATGCATTGCATCTATACATAACATAGTGCATCTATATTCAAAACATACTGCTCTATATGAAACAGTATTCTAAAAACAATGCATTTATACTAGATTGCATTCAAAATGCATTGAATCTACACATAACATGGTGCATCTATGTTCAAAACACACTCCATCTATAATGATGAGTATTTAAAATCGTGTCCCTTATCAGTTCATATGTGAAGATGATGCTTATATTCACTTATGAATTGACCCAGTTCAGACTCACATATATTATGTGAGCCCCCACCATTTATATGATCCAAGGCTTCTTCAATTAAGGCTGCATCTGGTCCAACACTTGCAGGTAAAATTCCTTGTTTGGTCAATCTTTTCTTTCCAATATGTGGTATCTTGTACACATTGCTCCCCTTCACCCTCATTATTTCAGTCATACAACATTGTAGAGTAAGCCACACATCATTCAAAGTTTTTGCCTCTAACTTTTCAAATGCATCTTGAACACATTCAACCAATTCAATAACTGTTTTTGGGGCAGACTAGTGTTGCAATGACTGGATGGCATTAAAAAAACCAAGATCTAGAATATTTAGATCAGGACTGTTTGTGGGTTGACATGTTAAATGAATGTCAAACCCATCAGCTTTAGCAACTGCCTTAAACTCTGGGTCAGATGACTTAATGTGAGGGGTGGCATTATCTTGTTGAATAAAAATAGTCTTGCTTCCATGAATAGGCCACTTAGATTTTATAGCTGGCACCACTTTTTCAATTAGAAAAGCCTTTGTAATGTCTTTGGTGATAGATAACATAGGTTTAGTCTCAAGCACACCTGCCACTCTATTCTTGGATGCCCTCTTTGCCGCCTCAATGACTGTGAAAGGGAAAATCCCTATTTTCCCATCGAATAATACCTCTTCATTTCGACCAAATCTTGGCCTAGCCACAGCTGTCAAGAACATCACTTTTGTAATGAACCTTTTGGATTTACAAGTCCTGACCGGATCTATTTCAGCAGGATGCAGGTAGTATTTTTGAGTAGTTTTACTTAAGAAAAACCATTTCTCATCTATGTGAACGTAGTTGTAGAATGCATCAAAGGTTGGTGTTAATCCAATACTTCTAGGGTTCAGTTTGAGAAGACAGAACTCTAACCTTTTTTTCATGTTTTCCTCGGTAAGAAATGGCTTTATTGCACTGCTATGTGATCTGATTTCACCTGCTTGCACCAGCCTGTGCACTTGTGACTTTGACATTTCAAGAGATTTTGCTAGGGTTCTAATGTTTGTTCTTTTGTGTAGAGGAATATCAAGCAATTTGGAGATCTCCAACGGACCAATCTGCCTAGGCCGCCCTTTATAGGACCAATCTGCCTAGGCCGCCCTTTTTGGCCAATCTGGTATTTAATTGTGGTCTAGCCTAGGATGGTGTGTGAGAGTATAGCAAAAGGGTTGGAGACCTGAACCGGAAAGAAATCGACTCCCAACACTGTCAATACAAAAATTGCAATAATCTAGCGCAGATCCAATCGATCTGAAGAGAACGAGCTCTGAAATGAAGGTTCGCCATTTGCAGCTAACTCCCGAATCTTGAAATCAAACAAGTTCCATACACTTCTTGAGAAAAACCAGAGTCATACACATCTTCCACCCACCACACCCTGATGAAGCCTCAACGCATACTTCAATTCCTGCGATAAAACAAAAAATCAAACAATTTCTTAAAAAAGACTTAAAAATTATCAAAAAATCCAATTTTAGGCGAAAGTAAGATAAGGAGACTGCATATATAGTTCAGCAAGTTTAGTAAAATCAGAATTTTGGCCTCAGAAATTTTAATACTTCGAACCCAAATATCCAGGAGATTCAAATTAAAACGCAACAATATCATCATAGACATGAATGTGTACAAGTAATTAAAGGAAACTTTGTAACCTGTGCTATATCGACAAAGATGAACTTATATAGTTGGACACACCTGGTGGTGTTTGCTTCACAAGCTCAAGGATGATGCTCAGACAAAGGATAAGCTCCCATGGCAGATATTTGAAATTGAAAAGCGTATATGAAATACATGAGTAATTACTGAAGCACGGCCGAGGAGTGGAGGGCATTCGGTAAAAGAACGAACTGCCCGCCACCGCCGCCGCAGCTCAACAAAGAGATGCGTCGATTAGGTTAGGGTTGTGAACGGGGGGCTTTTAAGTGTTGGGTCTCCCCCCATTTTTTTTTTTGGAAATCAGTTTTCGCACCAGTATTCTAAAATTTTGAATTTTTAAAAATTTTCAATGAAAATTTCACGTATGCACAATTGGACATTAGACAGATCTATTAATATTCGTACAAATTATGCAGTATTGGGGTATTAGCTTGTCACACAAGATTTTTGAAATTAATTTAAATTTTTTAACGTATGGTCATACTACCTTCGTTTTTAAATGAGTGCAATATTGTAAATTTTACACTATTCACATGTTCTACTTTGACTACATTTTATTTATTGATGTATTAATATAATTTTTTTAAAAACATATTACTAAATTTGTCTCATTGTTAATTTTCAAAATCTGATTTTTATAATTTTTTACTAATAGAGAGTTATATATATTAATGATCAAAGCTGTGCCTCGGCAAATGTGAAATGTTAACTGTTGCACTTATTTAAGAACGGAGGTAGTATATATGAAGTATGTATTAAACTAGTTTGAGTTTGTCTAATCATCATTTACCCCAATGCGGCAAAGGCTCCCACCTACGGTGGGGTAAGGAGAGGTCTGATGTACGCAGTCTTTCCCCTGTACTAAAGCACAAAGAGATTATCTCCTAATGACCCATAGTGAAAATAGCGTCCAAAATTGCATGACAAATAATAGTAAATCTTTGTCTATTCCACCAAAATTAAAAACATTTTTAATTATCTACGTATTATTATCTTAAGTTTTAAAGATTCTTTTCACTTATAGTCTTTCGAATATTATATCAGTTACACTTTCGATTCCCCAAAGTGAGGTTTTTCGACTTGTAATTCTTCAAGCGTTTAGTACTTGGCAATTGATAATATGGGCAATACTACCATTTTAAGTCTCTTTTAAAAAGTCGACGTGATTTTTGTTATAGAGACCGACAAGGCGACAAGTAGAATTTGGAGATTGTTACAAATTTTGTTGAGGTTAAGTCCCGCAGATCCGAAAGCCCAACACACGCTTTAGATATTAAGGACGTAGGTCTGGGTTAAAAGGTGTATCAAATATAAAATACTGAAAGATATGAACTCAGAGGCTAATCCTGCATTGAGTGATTCTTTTATTACACTGGAAGATACTGCATTGTATCAAATATAAAATACTGAAAGATATGAACTCAGAGAGTTGGCCGGAAAGCTTGAAGGCAGATGCCCACATCTCCCCTTGTGACTAAAGTGGTTGTTTTTTCATCCTTTGTGGGTGAATCCTGACGAGACCTGAGCTGGAAGTAGTTCTAACATGCTTGCTCTTTTCCTTGGGCTTTCCTCTGTTTTGAGCTGGGTATATTGGGCTGTGGCCCAATACCCCAACAGATTTGATTACTCAGTGTCAGAATGCGTAGTGTGTCACGCCCCGGACCTCCCCGGACACGTCAACAACCCGCCGTACAATACGAATAGTCAACCGCAGTCCAACACATTCATATTATACAAGGCGTCATGAATATCATTCACACATAAGTCATCCATAAACATACATAATAAGCAATTCAATACGCAGCGGAAAACATTGTTTAAAACAAAGGGCCACACAGGGCAAACATGAGCACGCAGGCTCTAAAGTAAAATATCCATGAGCATGTTTATTAATGTTCTAAAACTGAATGGAGGAAGCACGAACCAAGTCTTCTCTCCGGGGAAATCACTCGGGCAACGAGAACAGGAAGCAAGCTCTAGCCTCAACCTGAAATGGTGGTGGGACGCCCCCGAAGGGGTCAGTACTCTATACGGCTATAAAGTACTGGTGTGGCAGGCATCTAATAGATATACAACAAGTATTTCAAGCACAAGACCCTCAAATAGGGTGATAGTATATTATGATTGTAACCCTAAGTTACCCATTTGAAAATATACTTACTTTAGGTAAAAGTCAAGTAGTCGGCCCGTGGGCCCATGTTCATTTAGAAATCACCATTCCCATTTCCCGTGGCTACAAGCCACGATACTCAATAGAGTCCAACCCTAACACATGACATTGTATTCTAGAGCTCGGCTCTACTACATCACCATACAATTCATGTCACTCGGGTCAATTCCTTACCTTGCGTTCTAGAGCTCGGCTCTATTACATCACCACGCAAGCCCTAGAGCTCGGCTCTAGCTATACAATACATAGACTACAAGTCTACACCTTACATGCATTCTAGAGCTCGGCTCTACTACATCACCATGCATTAAGGTCCAATTCTCAAGCAACCCTATGCCTAGAATTGACATATCATTAAACTGCCATGGGTCATCCTTAAAGACTTCCCATAACTTAACCTTAGTTCCATACTAAGTTATTATATACACTTGAACTATATTCAAGCACCTTTCATACAATCCAATCCCTAGGATCAATTTAATCAACAAGTTCCAATAATCACTAACTAGTATTTCAATACTATTAAGATTATTGTTATCATACCACTATCCTCTTTATTTGTAATTCTCTACATAATTACATATATGTAGCAGCAACTTAAGTATTCAATCTCAATACACAAATATTCATTTATGTATCCAAATACTTCATGCATGAGCAAAATACCTATTTCGCAAAAACAGTTCATTTATACTCATTAAATCTCATGTTATTCATACATTCTCAAATCATTTCAAATTTCATTCTTTGGCTACTATATCAATATTTCATCAATATATGATCATCATAATCCATGAAAAATAATGATTTAAGCATTTAGGTAATCTCATGCTTAACCTACAAGTTGTAAGCAATTAGATGTCAATCCTCACCTCAATTGAGCTTTAAACTTTCCCTTCTTGGTCCAATGGTCAAAGCTTTGGTCAAGGTGGATTTGGAACTGATTCCTTGCTCAAATATGAGTGTTAACCAGCCTCCTCAAAGTGCTAGTTCAACCCTTAATCGTTGATACGAAAACAGCCCCTAGAACGGGTGTTTCCCGGTCAACTCGTTTCCTAGTTTTTCCAAGATTTGTTCTAGGTTAGTATCTAACCTTTACATCAATAAAATAACTTTATAAGGACATATTATACACTTGGATTAGTGTACGATAGTCCCACCAATCGTTCATATCATTTGGAAAATGAAAAGTAAAGTTTTGGGGTTAAAACTCACTTTTAGAAGATTAAATCCTCTCCTGCGAGGTTGTGTTTTGCTCGGACGATTTGGAAGCCTTCCACAACTCCGATTCCTGCAAACCAGACCTTCACGGATTCCTCGTCTTGAGAGCTTTCTGTGGGTATCTCACACGCCTTAATTGGATTGGTAAAACTCGAGATATCAACCAAACAGTCTCAACACTCTCACAGCTCGAGTTCACAGACCACTGCTCGTTCCAGATCGATTTTTGGATGATTACTCTCTCCTCTTGAACTGAGACCACTCAATTATAAAAATAGACTTCAAAAGCTATCCAAGGACACCTCATACACGTTATTTGGTTGAGGATAGCTCCTATAATGAGAGGAGACAAACAGCACACCAATTTGTGCGAAAATAAGAGTGGTGGCCCCAAACTTTGATTCTTATCAAGTCATGTGCAGTTCTTCTCCATAATGGCCGGCCAAGGTAAGTCTCCTAACCCATTTTTATTTGTCTTGCAGGTACTAATATCATGTGGAGTGGTTCCCAATTGATCCCAATCATTTTGGGATCCAAATTATCTACCAATACTTCCAAAAATGGGGAAAATGGGTCCTATTGTTTTATCTTTGTCAAAAGATGTCTTTTGGTACTCATCCTAATTTATTTAGAACAAGTCAACTTCTCAAATCACATTATTGATCTCCAATATGTGTAGGCTCATCCCAATAATTTACTTGATAGATATTATAGAAGGAAAATCCTACTCCCATTATTTAGCTCAATAAGGCCAAAGGTGGGGTTATAGGCATTTGTATTCTTCTTTAATCATCCTATCACTTATTTGACATTTGTCATACATATTATTGGGCTACTAGCCGTGTGGGTCACCCCGAGTGGATCCAGAACGCCATTCTCGAATACTTGCTATTTTTAGCAGGTTGGGCCCAAAAATGAGTATTCGCAAGCCCGATACTAATATACGAGTTCGAACAGTATAATAATCGGTCATTAATTACGTAAAACATTAATCGTTTAACAAATGTTTGGGAATCAAAAATCCAATACATAAACTTTGAAATTTAAATCAAATTTTCAAGGACCTTCGGGAGCGGTGTCACATAGTGTATATGAGAATATACATAAGTATTGATACCCCTGAAGTATATGAGAATATACCCCTGAAGTATATGAAAAACGACTTAATGAATTTCGTAGATCCTTTGTCCATGAGTGTTGATACCCCTGAAGTATATGAATATACTCTGTCACCGTTTTTAAACCAAAGAGCGTAGATATGGATTAAATCTTATTGTCCAATAAGAAATACCATTCTTTGGAAGATATCGGAGATCTAGGTGCTCAATATGGATTACAAACTCTGATTTGAGTTTGTACCAATAGGTAATACGAATAAAATTAGGTAAATGATTGTAAACAATGTCGGGTTCATTAAATGTACGATGTAATGAATATTTCTAATTACCAATAGTAATTAACCTAATATACACCATGATTCCGTCACAATTCTATACGATATTTACTCCACTTAGAGTAAATATCCATTTACTCTATGATTCTTGCAGGATGATCATATACGAATATGATCATTATATGGATATCGGAGAAATACCATCTACTCAGTGTCAGAATGCGTAGTGTATATGAGAATATACATAAGTATTGATACCCCTGAAGTATATGAGAATATACCCATGAAGTATATGAAAAACGACTAAATGGATTTCGTAGATCCTTTGTCCATGAGTGTTGATACCCCTAAAGTATATGAATATACTCTGTCACCGTTTTTAAACCAAAGAGCGTAGATATGGATTAAATCTTATTGTCCAATAAGAAATACCATTCTTTGGAAGATATCGGAGATCTAGGTGCTCAATATGGATTAAATTCTTTGCTGATTCGACCAATTTCAGTGTTATCAAAC